TATCTTCAAAGAAAATGTCAAATTATAAGAGTCAAATTACAATTAATGATTGATGTGATAATTTGAAGTCTTATGTCAAATTTTATACTTCTGCAACCGAATTGTTAAATGTTATTTTATTATTTAAATAGAGTTTTAAATGATTGTAATTATTAAAAAAATATTGAAACAAAATTTTTATTGATTGAAATATTAGTGGAATAAGGGACCAATTATTAAAATAAATTAAAAATACATTTGACATTGATGTTAAATTTGACATCAAATCACTAAGTCTTCAAATCCAATCAAATAACACTTCGGTTGGAAAGATTTTTGATATCAAATATGCACAGTGGCATTCCATTTAGGATTTTGACATTTCCATTCGAGATGCTCTTAGGAGTAAATTGGATAATGCTTATGTAGGGAGCACTTTTTCTCCTTCTTATTAAAAGGATGATAATATTTTATATTAAGAATTTAAGGGGGCGTTTGTTTGCCCTCACTAAATGGGACTGGACTGGACTAGATTAGAAATTAGGGCAGTCCGATGTTTGTTACACAACCGGACTAGCTTTAGTGGGATTACCCTTCACTCGCCTCGACTAAGGGGCTCGCTAGATCGTCTTAGCGAGACCCCCCGAAAACAACGGGAATGCTAGTCCCGTATCCTTCGTCTGCAAGTCGCGTCCCGTGAACCAACATGAGCACCATCATCACTTCTTCTCCAGTGACCAAACCAGAAACGGTTGTCGCCGATCTCCATCGTCCTGTAAACCTAGCACCCTTTTTGGCATTTCAGTCGGTGATTTGGGGTTTTTCGCCATCTGGGTCGACCCGAACGACATCAAAGATGGATCTTTTGCTACCACCGCTCCGCTTTTCCCACTCCATCTCCTCCTTCCTGGCTTCCCACAACCTGAAAACCTAGAAAATCGAACCCATAAAACCCATAAAACCCAGAAGACCGAACCCAGAAAACCCAAAAAAAAATCTGTGAGATGAGCTTGAATCAACGATGGGAGTGATGTAGATCGAACCCAAAAAACATAAAAATTGTTGATCACAAACTTTACCTATCTTTCACCTTCGAGCCAATTGCACATGCACCCTACCCCAACTCCTTAATTTACACTCTATTTTTTGCTTTGTGGTTTGATTTTGAATATTTGCACAGTTGATTATAAATTGTGAGAGGGAGGGAAGAGGGTGAAAAGGTGGGGGAGAAGGAGCTGGACGGAAACGGAAAGGGAAGAGATGGAGAAAAGGAGGAGAGATAGTTTGACTAAAGAAAAAGGGAGAGACAGAGAGACTTACTGGAATCTTTTTTTTTTGTGTAACAAACATCATTCTAGTGTTCTTTGATTCCTTTAATTATTTTTTTATTTGCAGTTGCGGTTAACAATGGTGAGATTGATGACAATTCCAATACGGCAAGAAGAGAAAAAAAAATTTTATTTTTTTATTTTTTTATTATTTTGGTATTTAATCCGACATTGCACCAAATACTTCACTAAACTAGTCCAGCTTAATCTAGTCTAAGCCAATCCAGCTTAGTCCCTGAAGTTAATCCAGTCCGAGACAGTCCGGTACAATAAACGCCCCCTAAGTGTTTTACATAAAGTACTTGTAGGTGATTCTCCCAAAAAAAAAAGACTCTAAAAAGTGCTAGGAGTTAGTCGGGCAGCGAGCAAGGCCTACGGTCTTGGCGGGTTTTTTTTTTTTTCAATTAAATTTATTATTATATAACAATAAAAATATATAAATAAGTGACTACAATTGATTGAATACATAAAATGAAATATGTATTGAGAGTTATTTTATAAGAAACCGTCTAGAGCTGCCTAGACCTCTAGACCGTTTAGGTGGCCGCCTAATTGCAGCCTAGAGGTTTTTTGAACTCCTAGGCCCTAATAAAGATGCCCAGCCTCTGCCTAAATCGCTTTTTAGGTGCAATAAAGTACCAAAATGTGCTTTTATAATACAGAGTGCCAAATTATTTCTAATTGTTAGTTTATTCCGTGTGTACGTTAGAAGCTTCCGAATTTGTTACGATTCATGTTAAACTTTCCTCAAATATGAAAATTTAAAGTATTTACGAATTTTCCTTGTGAATGTAGCATTTTATTGACTCATATGCCACTAAAAGTTGATCATGCGCATTACGCAATAATTAAATTAATAAAATTGTGACGAAATTGATGGTCAGGAGATTACTAAAAAGAGGAATACAATCATATTTTCACAGAATTCACCATCCACAAGATTCAAACATAAGACATCTCACTTCTAAATAAAGAGGAATACAATTAGATCGTAGTACTAAGTAGCTGTAAAAAAACACAATTAGAAACGTATTGATTGTCTAAAGTCTGTTTTACATTACACTATCCATACCAATTTCATTGGATCAGATCCACAAATGTACGCGAGGAAGAGGAATATAAAAGTTATAAACTGGTTTGAACCAGCTCTTTTCCAGCCCATTGCACAAGCTTACAAGTCATACATCAAAATCCATGATTAACAACATTGTTTAAAGATAACTCAAACTCCTAATACAATTTGGCCATGGTTTTACTAGAAAAAATTCAGAATGTCTTCTTCCCCAACAACGAATCGTCGACAAACAACAGCTAAGATCTTCCACAGTAGGCCGAAAAAATAGATTTAAGATTTAGGGTAACTACATTTCACTTCTTCATGTTTGAGGTGATTTTCAAATGAGCCACGAGTTTTCAATTTTCTCACTTTGCTCCCGGTTTTGAAATTGTAGCAATTTACACCTTTAGTCTAATGATTTATTTGAATTTTCGTTCAATTGATGACATGGTGAGCATTGAAACACGTAAATGGGTCGATACGTAAGCCACATTTATGACATGGTGAAACATACTGCAAATGCCACTCATATTAATGTATACATTAAAATTGACTAGATGAGACGTAGACGTCACTTTCTTTTTGGATTACACAACTAAACGAGATGTAGATGGAGCATTCTCAATGCACACTGATGATTAAGACGAAAATGTAACTAGAATATTAAGAATGTAGACACATTCGATTAGATTAAAGGGGCATTTAGATGTATGTCCAAAAAATCAGCTACTTTCGGATTGAGTCCAATTGGATGTCCTTATCAATTTTGGGGATTTATCATTTGATGACTACTCTTCACAATACACTTACTTTACACATAGAGATGATGAAGATAGTGAAAATTTTGAACCTCATAGGAACTCTATGTGGTACTAAGTCACTCATGTATCTTACCATGCAATGTATAAAGTGTAAAATATTGTACTAATTCATTATATATAAATTGTTATAGTGTGTTTAAATTTTTTTCATTAATTACTACATATTTTCCACACTCACAATGTTTGCCAACTCGCTATATAAAAAAGGTCGTACCCAGTGCACAAGGCTCCCGCTTTACGCAGGGTCTGGGAGAGGTGAATGTCGGCTAGCCTTACCCCCATTTATGGAGAGGCTGCTCCCAAGTTTCGAACCCGAGACCTACCGCTCATGGGCGAAGGCACTTGCCATCGCACCAAGTGCGACCTCTTTATCGACTTAAATCAGTTAAATCCATCATGCAATGCATTTCCTTCCAATTTTTTGTGATAAACTAATAGATAATTGACTAAATAAACATCCTGCAAAATTTCAATAAAAATTTCCAAGTTTTTCTTACAATTTTTGTGGTTTTTATTCAATTTTTATCGATATCGATATGATAATATCCTGATATTTCCATCGAAATTTCCGTGTTTTTAGACTATTGATATTTTCGATATCATCGATATTTTAGATCTTGGTCAGGAGATTACTAAAAAAATTCTGTAAAAAACACAATTTGTTTTCCTGAGTACATCGATATTTTCACATTAAGGGATGAGGAGGTCGGCTAAGCCACACAATGAGCAACCTAATTTAGTATCGAATTCGCCATCCACAAGATTCAAACCTAATATCTCTCACTTCTAAATAAAGGGGAATACAACCAGACCGTAGTATTGAGTAACTGTAAAATACACAATTAGATACGTATTGATTGTCTAAAATCTGTTTTACAGAGTTACACTATCCATACCAATTTCATTGGATCAGATCCACATATGTACGCGAGGAAGAGGAATATAAAAGTTATAAACTGGTTTGAACCAGCTCTTTTCCAGCCCATTGCACAAGCTTACAAGTCATACATCAAAATCCATGATTAACAACATTGTTTAAAGATAACTCAAACTCCTAATACAATTTGGCCATGGTTTTGCTAGAAAAAGATTCAGAATGTCTTCTTCCCCAACAACGAATCGTCGAAAAACAACAGCTAAGGCCTTCCACAGTAGGCCGAAAAAATAGATTTAGGATTTAGGGTAACTACATTTCACTTCTTCATGTTTGAGATGATTTTCAAATGAGCCACGAGTTTTCAATTTTCTCACTTTGCTCCCGGTTTTGAAATTGTAGCAATTTACACCTTTAGTCTAATGATTTATTTGAATTTACGTTCAATTGATGACATGGTGAGCATTGAAAACTGTAAATGGGTCGATACGTAAGCCGCATTTACACCCCATTATCTAAAAAACTCATAAATATAATGAATAAATAGACATAAGAGGTGTAATACACTTTAACATAGCAAACTTTTCACACTTGCTAAATTGCACAAAATGGAGCTACATGATGAATGAACAAAACAGATCCACATATACACACGACATATGTGATCATCAGACCTAATTGCATTAGAATTTGCCATCAGAATTCACACCAGAACTATAGCATTCATCACATTAGTTCGGGTTAGAAATGACAATCGGCATCTTTCTCTACAACTACTTTGATCTTCACATACCTGAGATCCACAGCCGTTGCAGGAAACACAGCCGGGTACACCAAAACAACAGAATTCATCACATTTTCGTGTTAGAGATTACAAACAACACTGGCAACATACATTCACAGGAAAAAAAAGGCCACGCCCTTGAAGACATTACGCACTACTACTTAATACCATCGGCATCTTTCTCTACAACTACATCGATCTTCTCGTACCTAAACTCCACAGGCTTTGGAGAAAACTCAGCAGGGAACTCCGTGTGCCTACTGATGATAATAGCCCACAAAAACAGCATCACAAATGCCACCAATGCCCCACACCCAGTCACGAAGATCATCCTGGCAAGAACTGTCAATGGGCAAATCCCCCGCTTCTGCACGCTCAAACTCTCACCATGTCCATCCACATACCCCCTCGGATTCACCGGCAGAGAATGCATTGACTTGGGAACATTTCTAAGCCTAAAATTCCATGAATACACACTGCTAATCTGTGACGAATTTCCATTCGAATTCGAGGAGCTAATACCTACATACACATCCTCACCTCTCCACATTCCCGACATATCTATCCCATATGCCGTAATCGGAGTATAAGGCCTCGAATCGTCCATTTTGCCTAGCCTAATCTCCAATCGTTTCGAACTAGCATCGTAATCGATCCAACATTTCAACTTTTCTCCACTATTAAGCACCAAATTCAATTCAGAAACATTACCAACAGCTAGAGATACAAAGCTACCAACATCTACCCCTATGTGATTAGCATTCAAATCATTCATATCTCCATTCATTTCAGTATCAAATTCAATACCCAGAAATCGATCGTCACCTTTAATCCCAAACGGGCCCTTACCCGATAATCTGGACCCCAAATCTCCGGGAGCAAAGACGAGCAAGAGGCCGTCGCCGCCGTCGGGCGTCATCGAGAATGCGAATTCGGTTGAAAACGACGTCGGGTTGCTGAGATTCCCGTCGAGAAATTTAAAGGGTTTTCTGCGGAGGAGAAGACCGGAGCTTGAGACCGACGGCCGCGTAAGGTTGACATAGGATCCACCGCCTGCTAGCGCGGCGTCACCGAGGAGGGCATTTCGGAATCGAAGTTGGGATTGCTGCTGTTGTTTAGAGGTTTGGGCCCGGAAGAAGAAATGGGTTCTGCAATTAGGGTTAGGGTTAGGAAATAGAAGGAGGAGAGGAGGAAAATGAAGGGGAAATTGCAGCAGGAAATGGTGAAGTTCGCCATCGTTGTTTGCAGAAACCCGAGGCGTCTTCGTGCACTTCCCGAATCAGAGCGATAGCGATTCAACGATTTTCTATTTATCCGATCCGAAAAACGGATATTTCTAATTTTTGGTAAAGCAGTATTGCGTTTTTCTGTCCAAAAAACTCGCGACATATATAGGCTCAACGACGTCGTGTTGCCTTCACAACGACATCCTGATTTAGGAAGTAGTTGACGACATGAGTCACGAGTCAAAACCCTGGTATTTGTTTGGTCGAACTTTGTGGTGATAAAATTTTGGACTAACTATATTTTACATTTTTAAGGTTTTTTTTGTTAAACGGTAAATTTTGTTATATTAGTAATTGATAAAGTTTAAACTTATACCGTGATATAAGGGCTCAACACATTTTCGTCACTGTGGTAAAAGACCGCTTTTACACTCTCAATGTTTGAAGTCATTTTAAAATAAGTTATTAGGTTTCAATTTTTTCACATTACACCTTAAAATTTGGTGCCCTATCAAATTACACCTTTGTCTATTGCACCTTAAGATTTTGTAACCTGGGATTTGGAGAGATGACGTTGGAGGAGCTTGGAGGGGGTTTTTTTTTTTTTTTTTTTTTTTTTTTTTTGTTGATAATGGAGGGCCTGGAGGTGGGAAGGGACGGGAGAGAGTTCTCTCTTTCGTTTTCTATTTTAATATTTTTATATCATTTAATTTTGCTTTTATGAGATTTCTTTACTTGTTTTAGAAATTTTTAATTTTTTTAAATATGGGCTTTTGAATCATTTTGTTGAGGGCTACATCTGTCTTTAAAAACTTTACAAAATTTTTGGTGTCCAGATACGGCTTTTGGGTGTATAAAATACAACTATTTATTAAAAAGAAAAAAAAGCCCAAACAACCTAAACAGAAACAAATCTAAAGGCCCATTTAACGTATAAATATCCAAATCCATCCTTTCCATCCGCAACAAAATATGAATTGTATTTGAAATCCAAGGGCATCTGCCATAAGAATTGACAATTAGTCAACAACACAAAGAATCGTTTAAATAAATGGTGGATTAACTTGTTGATTAAGGGTTTTCTCTTTAACTCAATGCGCTCAACGCTACGCAATATTACAAGAGCTTTTACACGCGAGTAATTAGCATATGAGTTTGCAACGTCCTCATAGATTAGGAGGGCCATATATTTTTTTTGTGATATATGGCTTGTCTGAAAGTTCTTTTAAAATAATTGAAAACACTCTTGATAAAAATATTTTTGAGTACCAAAAATACTTGAAGTGCTTCATTTTTTAAGGAAGCACTTACATTTTTGTTAAGGATTGGTTCCAAAAACATTTTCAGTCATTTGAAAAAAAAAAAAAGAAAAGCTCGAAATGAGCCTATAGATTCCTAAGTTATTTTATAATATCCCGTTGTAGTAATGCAAATACCATGACAGTGAGGAATAGCTCGCTATTGGGATAAATGTTAGTGTCTAATGTTGTTTATTGGTCATATTTATTTGGACTTACAAATATGACATTCTCGTTGCATGAAAGTCTTTCTCTATTTCAGGAAATTTGTAACTCATGTGACTCCATGCATTTGAGCTCGTGTTCAAGTCTCTCACAAACTACCCCCAAATCATCTTGAATCCCTTAAGCAGATGTTCATTTTCTTCCCTATTAAGCAGTTGTTCATTTTCTGCCCTAGCTTCTCATGCAATTTGAATTCCTTCCCTCAGTTGTCTCTGCCTGATACTGTAAAGAGCTCTTCTTATTATTCTGATACGGTAGCAGGAACTCACTATGCCTGTATGTCGAATACAAAATAATACTTCCATTCTTTTTCATATGGTAGCTTCGAAAGATAGCAACGTAAGGGTAACGTGCAACTTTATGAACACTTCTTAATCAAATCCCCCAAGTAATCAAATCCTCCAGGTCCCGAATACACGGCTGAAAATCGAGTCTCACAAAGTGCAAATATTAAAACAAGTAATCGAGAAGAAATAGGAGTGGAGGGGCTTGAATTTGGAGGCAAGTCAAGGGTTTTGGGGTCCCCTTGGTTGCCACAGCAAAGCAGCATCCAAATCCTTCAGACGGATTGAACAGGCAAGTCAAGGGTTTTGGGGTCCCTTTGGTAGTTGCCACAGCAAAAGCAGCATCCAAATCCTTCTGATGGATTGAAAAAATTTCAAGTGTGTGGGGGTTTTGTTTTCGCTGTTTGTGTGTCCTTGATAAAGCTTTGTGTAGTGCAGGAGGGAGACAATTGGGGTGCATATCTTACAATTCAAGATAATTTGTACACACACGACACTCACGCACACACACACACGACACTGGTGCCCCCAAGCAAATTCTTCTTCTCCCACTTTGGACCCCATCTGCCATTTGAATTAGACCATTCGTTTAGTTGTAAAAGATTTAGATTTAGATGATGATGGTGATGATTACTATTAATTACTACCATGATGAACAATGATGATAGTTAGACCACGCAACATATTCTACTCGAGAATTCTCCAAACTTTGCATAGATTTAGGAAGCTTCTGAAATCAATAATTCCTTTAGGGTTTCTTCATTGTTGACAAATTCAAAGTGAAAGCTCATCATCTAATTACTTAATAGTGCAAGCTATCCTCCACAATACTACACAATAGCGTAAAAGTAACATTTTCTTTTGTGGGGCTCATCCTCTTTCACCTGCACATTATACAGCATAAGTAACTATGTATTCTACGAATCTACATATTTGTTTAAAAAAAAAATATATACACAAATAGACTTTAGGGATAGTTGACGCGTGCTCGAGTCCAACCCACATTATAGCTCTCACCCAACCCTTTCCCATTCCCCTCCCCACACCTCAATTTTTGTGGCCGAAACCGTACCTAAATGTATATGTCGACGCATACAAGACCATTTTCAATCAACAATTTTGTGATTTAAGTCTATCTATTAATTTAATAACAAAGAAAAATAATTAAGGTGTTGCAAGGTTGGGAGTCATCAGTCTTGCGACAAAATAAATCAAGTACACCAGAACATGCTAGAATTTTCATACATTTCGAATGAGTTTAACAAATTGAACCTGTATTTCAAAATGAGAGAAATGGTTAAAAGAACTTTTATTAATTAGATCTCATCTCATCACTTGTACATAATGTCTTTGCCTTTGCCTTTGCCTTTGGTGCACTCAATGCGAGGCCCAAAAGTGGGGGGAAAAGGAAGTCGTTAAGTTTATAAAATCATTCCTCCACTACCTTGGATTCTAATTAAAGTCCTTAAAAGCGCGAGATTTGGAGTTCTTGACTTTGGTCCACTGCAGTTCATGTGGCCATGTGAGTCTGTTCTAGTAGGTTCAAGTTCAACTGGATCTCCCTAGTTTCGGGTGGTGGCAATTGTAGAAAATAACTAAAGCCAGCAGCAACACTTGCAGTAATTCATGCTAATAAACCACGTGGTTTCTACTTGCAATTTGTCAATTTGATCGTCAAAGTGAAATTACCTTTACAAAAAGGTGAAGTCAAAGTGTTGGAAGGTAATGATCAAAAGTTTCAGAGATTAGGGTTAAATTGTAACGCAAGACATCACCTTGACAGCTTCCACTTTTATGCTAATCATGATTCATGAACTGGAAAATCAAGACTTACTACCAGTTTCTAAATCAAGAAACTTTTATTTTTACATTTTCATGTTTCACTGCAAAAGAAAATCGATTACAATTTATTTACCATAATGTTTTTAAGGAAATTTCGACAGGATGAAGGAAATTTGATTAAGAATGTATTCACCATAATGTAGTAGTATACTACAAATTGCTAAGATTAATTAGTTTTAACCTATCTTTGTTATAATGTAAATAAGATTTTTTTTACAAGCAATGGAGCTAGATTCCATTAACCCAAATCAAATCTAAGAGGTGCCAAATGGGTACATATTCTCCATTGATCAATTTTTTTTATCTAAAGAGAGATTCGTTCAATCAACAAATAAGATAAAACCCCTTATGACTACCACACACAAAAACTAGGTGCACATGGTGTAATATGTCACAAAAGATGATAAACGCGATAAATCATGCTTTGAATGCACACATAAGCCATCACTAAAACAACTAGGCCACATCGCACCACCGCTAGAACAACGAGACCATAAAACTCACCAAAGCGACATAACACAAAACATTAAACAAAACTAACTAATTCGAAAAGGGAACTAGAGTGTAGTCAAACTTGGATTTGAGAGGATTTTAAAAGACTTTAAAATCCTAGTGTAGTTAATTAAAAGATTTTAAAGGATTTTAGAATCCATTCAAATATAGGTGTAGTCAATTAAAAGATTTTAAAGGATTTTAAAATCTATCCAAATCTAAGTGTATTAAACAAAATTCAGATTTTGGAGGATTTCAATAAGTTGTGGATTTTGTGGGATTTGAGAGCAAGAAGTATATATAACCAAGACTAAAAAGAATCCAACCTCACCCCCTAGGATTTCAAATCCTTTTCCATATGGGCAGTCCTCAAATCTCTACCAACGATGTAGGCATGTATGATCATCAAAGGACATGATTGATCTAGGATTTTGGTTAATACTACTCTCTCGCCATTTTGATTTTTTAATGTTTGTGGTACTACAAGCACTACTGAAGTACCACAGCGTACATCTATGACAAAATGGCAGTCGGTGGTGATGTTTGTTGGTGGTGTAGTGCTCAAAAGCTCACAAAAGTTATGTTGATCTATTAATTGAGAAAGAGATGAAGCTGTGGTTGTGTGAAAGGAGACCCGAAAAGAAGGGGATAAAATGACTATCGAGTATAGTAGGGCAAGGGGAAAGATTTTTCTTTTTTTTTTTTCAATAAAAAAATTATATGAAAATCTACCACAATCCACCAAAATCTACAAAGTAAATCCATTCAAATTCTTTAAAAATCCATATGAATTTTGTAGGAGTCTTAAATCCTCATAAATCCTATCAAATCTACCACTTTTTAAAATCAATTAAAATCCTTTAAAATCTTAGTTGGACTACATCCCCACGATACCAACACCGCTTCTAGAGATATCTATAGCATTCACCACAAGAGCCGCCACAGGTTTGGTCATGTAAGGCGGCTGGGCCGGCTGAGGAGCGCAAATTCACCCTGGAGAACGAGTCGTAGGAGGTGGATTAACCCGCCACAACCACAAATCTTACCCATACCCACGGATCTAGCCCAAAAGAGCTCAGGAAGAGCTTCGTCAAAGGAAGGGCGAGCTGCTTGAAAAATTGTGGGAGAGGGGATGGTGAGGGAGAGGAAGAGGCGCGAGGTAAGGGAAAGGTAGGGGGACAAAGACGAGGCGGAGGGAAGGGAGGCATGGCACGAAGGTAGGGGAAGCGGTGGGAGAGTGGGGGCACGGTGTGTGGGAGGGGACAAAATAAATGATAGGCGTGACTCGAATTAGGGGGCAAATGGTTGCCGCCGACCCCCAAGCCGGAGCAAGAGGCAGGTAGCTGTAGGTTTTCGGATCTAGGGTTTTTGGAAGGAGGGAGTTAGAGAGAGTTGGGGGGTGAGACATCTGGTTTAAATAAAAAATAATAATTAAATAAGATTAATAAACATCAATGACACCTGTAAACAACGTGAGTAAAAAAATCAATTGATTGTTTTCCAGAGTTCATTTCTGGGTTTTAGCGTCGAACTGTATCCCCAGAAAATCAGATCCAACATGTTCATATGCGATTTCAGGTTTGGTTAACTTGTAGCTTTGCCAAATATTCTATATACAACACAACAAATAATTACATAATTTAGCAAGATATATAGGAAGCCATATATGCAGAAAAGCATCCTCAAATTTTAATTGAAGAAACAACAGAGATTAATATATACAAACCAAAATCTTTGACCAAGTTAATTTCATGAATAATTGGGGATAGAGAGGAGTTCATAATTAAGCGTCAAATAGATTTTCGACATGATGAAAAGACATATATATATGGTAGAATCATAAGTATAGAATGCAAAACCCTAATCGAAATGCATAATTTGTCTCATTAACTATGACGATGTGCATCTTTTTTTCCAGTCAATGAAAATATTCAGATGTTGGCTGCTGAAAACATAGATTTTGGAAGCTCGATCTGAAAAAAAAAAGAAAGATAGAAGAAGAGAAGACATATATATGAAAGAGTTTGAATTACCTGAACAAGAAACCGTCGAGTTTGGCTGAATACCTTGAACGTGAAAGAAGTCGTTGATGCAAGATATATAGAAATAAGTTTGAAGCTTCCAAAGGAGAAATCCAAAGGGATAGCATGATCCAAACCAAGCGATGGACATAAATAGTTAGCTGGGATCAATGCGATCCCTTTGGATGCCTCCTCTAGAAGCAATTAATATATGAAACCAACCCAGCACTTCGCTTCCTTCTCAAAACTCTCTGTGTAAGAGGAAAATGGTATTTGAGGGAGCCTCCAATATAAAAGAGGGAGTGACTTCTTCATCTTCGATGTTACCATTCATATATTTTTATTCTTTTTGGATAATACTTGCATTCCCTTCTTTAGGGGTGAATTTATTCTTCTACTTACAAATAATGTATTTTACTTTATAAATTTCATAATCAGAAATTTTCAGTCTCTTAATCTTCATTTGAATATCATACTTACAAAAAATCATTTAAAACGGAGATCGTTTATTCCTCCAAATATATCAAGTAAATGGACAGTTAATTCATCATTAATATGTTACTAGGTACTTACACCATTGATTTATTTGATACAATTTGAATGACTAAATAATATCCGAGTTGAATGAATTTTTGTAGAAATAATCTTCAGATGAAAATTAAGACATTGAACAGTTTCAATTATGAAATTTTTACGATGAAGACACAATATTTACAAGTGGCCGGAGAATGAGTTTATCTCTCAAAGAGGAACATGCAAGTTTTCTTCATTTTTTTATTTATCAAAATAATCATAATAAAAACCTTTTCCATAACAATTGATAGCGTTAATGAGTTAAATAGTTAAGATCATGATCTAATTATATTTTTGCACTACTTATAACTAAAAAGGCTTAGCTTCGGCTGTTGAATGGTGAGTTCTACACCAACTTGTTATCACTGACTTGAGGTTTATCTCAAATACCTTCCCTATCTTATCACATATAAAAGTTTAATTTCCAGGATATTTTTATTTGTAGACCCCATTCTCAAACAAACTAGACACATGGAAAAGGTTTATACGTTGTGTGTCCACATTAGAAGTCCCCCAACAAGTTGGTACAATCGTATTAATTTTTGGTTTAATTTCTCAAATATTCTCCTCATCTAAATCAAGGTCTGTGGTCCAACCATGTTCCCCCTCACAGACCTACTCTTTTTCTATGCTTTCACAGAGTATTGCACATTCTCATTTTTTTAAATTTAATTATGGTATCTAAATATATATTCAAATATCCGTCAATGATAAGACCTTATAATGGATTTTGAGATTGGAAAGGGATACTCTCCGGATCCCTTCCACCAAGTCCACCAAGACCACAAATACGAACTTTTGAAATTTAATTAAACGGCTACAAACAGGGGTCCATTTTTTAAATTATAATAACTTTAGCCGTTTTATCAAATTTCAAGAGCCCGAATTTGTGGCCTTGGTGGACTTGATGGAAGGGATCCGGAAAGGATCCCTTTCCCTTGAAATTAAAATGTTATAGCTAGTGGGATCCACAAGGTGTGTGATTTAGTCAATCAAGGCACCGGTCTTCCTCAAAGGCGAGATATTTTTTAGTGTGTCAGAACATGGTGTGGCATAATACAATACTTAAAAAAAATTTCAATCGCTTGTATTATGAAACTTAACGCAACGAGCCATGTTTCTAGCTAGTACTTTGAAAAATTTCTCCTCAATGTAATGTAATTTAGTATAATCATTTAAAATATGTGGTGTAGTTGATTAATTCATATTAGAATTTAAAGCACGTCGAGAGTTTGATTCCTCTAATATTACAAAAAGAAAAGTTAAAATTAAATTTTAGTGGAAAACTTCAAATTATTAATTACGAAGTTAAAGTATTGGTCCTCACTCTTTGACAATTGTAGTTGAAATGTTGGAAACCCTAGTGTTAGTCCAATGAGGTTCTTCCGTTTAGTACGCATAAAAGGAGCATTTACCAAACCACCAAAAAAGAAACGAGATAATAGAAGACATAAACGATGATCCATTCAATTTTGTTATCTTTTCTTTAGACACCAAAGTACGAGGACCATCACTACGAAGGCCTCTAAATGGTGCACATGGATAGGCGCAAAAAAAAAAAGAAAAAAAAAAGGTATCAATCTTACTAACAATATTGATTAATTTCTTAGCCGTCCACTCACCATAATATATACATAGATACTTACCTGAGCCCATTTTTAAAAGAGACTCTACTCCACTGTTCACGGAACGGGATCAATACTTTGTCTAGTGACCATGTATTGCCTACATAACACTCCATTATTATGGAGCTGAAACTGACATAAACAATGAACTATAGACAATCCGTATCTAGTCAATACTTCGTTGCTATACGAGCAAAGCAACAGTCTATGATATTTGACCGTGTAAACTCTAAAGCAGGATTCATGCTCAGAAGCTGGTTCTGTACATATTTTACAACTTGTATTTGATAAGAAAATGAAGTCGAACTAGTGAATTTTACATGTTATGTTACCCCATAAAATGAATCTTTGTGTATTGCTAAATTAAATATAGCCACCTACCACATGATTTTTTTTGCAAGATTGATTTATGGATGGGGTCCTCTAACCACTATCCATCTTCATAACATGACTATGCATTATACATATTGTCTATAAGTGTGGAAGTGGAATTTTACCTTTTTCCTCAATTCGGCAGCAACCTTTTTGAAACCTCTCACAGTCTCACTTGTTAATTAGAAAGAAAAACTTGTTCCATAGTAACAGTTACTTGTCATCCTCCATAAATGGTGACTGTAGTGCAATACATGATAGGGCAAAACGACATATTTTAGTGCTTGGCTAAACAGTTAATCCTGCTTCTACTCTAGTCATCTCGGCCGTTCAAAATGCGGGGCCGTATCAAGATTGCTCAGTTGACCACTCCAGATCATGATGGCATGGATGGTGCTAGATCTTGTCCACACTAGTGAAGCACTGAAGCATATAGGTGGACCACAGCCACAGAGCAGGTTTGTCGATGGTGCTATACAGTGGCTCCACGGTCCACCATGCATATATATTTTACCTTCCCACGCATAATGTGAAAATGGGGTAATTTGTGATTGGCTTATACTGTCTGATGTGATTTGAAAATAGGGTTTTGGCTCACCTCCAAGGACATATGTCCCTTGTTTGCAGGACACAAGAATTATTTTCTCTCAGGCCTTGTAACCCATCTGCTGGGATCACCACAGGAACTTGAATATACCTGCTAATTGGCTATTGCTGCTGCCCATTATATTTCAGATCTTCATCTCTCCCATGCATGAGATATACTATTCATCCACCGAGGGCCAACAGCTTCCACTCACACACCCTTTTCTTTTATTGAATTCATAACGTGGAATTTTGCGTTAGAAATATAAATAATCTGAAAAATGTTGTTTGCATGCTCTTATTTATTTTTGTCTTTTGATTCTTATGATTTATTCAATTTAGATGTCAAGAATAAATAAAAGTGTCTAGCAATAGAAAAAAATTTGTGAAAATAACTTCCGTATAATATAATCTACTAGTGTAAGTTTGAATCTAAGATCATGTGATCATGACTAATTCCGAATTTTTGTTTTGTTAATTTAATGGAAAATATATATATACAAGAAATTTAAAACTTCTGGCACAACAAAAGTTATAAGATAAAGTGATCACAAACAATTACCCTTTTGAACACCAGAAGCTTAAGAGAATTCTCATTTTGTGAATAGATAAAGTGATCACAAACAATTACCCTTTTGAACACCAGAAGCTTAAGAGAATTCTGGCACTAGGTTAAGAGAATTGTGGATAGATAAAGTCTCAATATAAAATTAATTATTAAAAGTATATTTTATATGTAATTTTTTCAATTAAAATATGTATATTAATAAATTTAAATATTTAATAGGGAGACATTAAATAAAATACACATCAGATATTAAAAAAAAATTGATTAAAGTACACATCAAAAGACTAATATCAATATGTAATGTAACACTAGGTTTTAATTAAATTCCAATAATTTTCAAGGATTAAAGTTATAAAAAAAAAAAAAAAAGTTCGAAAAGGTATCATCAGCCAAAATAGAACGACAAACCATGAATCAAAATCAATATTCAAACGAAAACACTATTCACGTCGGGGTCGACCTTTTCAGACTGCTCTTCCAGTCCTTTGTCACTTTCTCCCGGCCAAAGTAATGAACAAAAGTACAATAGAAAAACGGACATACAAATTTAAAACCTCCTTTGAAAATGTTTTTAAAATGATTGAAAGCGTTTTTAGTGAATTTTTTTTTTGAATCAATCCTTAATAAAAATGTAAGTGCTTTTGGGAGCCAATTTTTTTTTCTCTTTAAAAACGCTTTCAGTCCTTGTAAAAGTATTTCCAAACGAGTCCTAAGATTAATCGAAGTCTATTTTCATGAATTACAGTCACAACAGCTTTAGTCTCAAGTAAAACTTTCATCAACTGAAGGAAGGATTGATCCTCCTGTATTTTTCCTATATATACAAGGACTTTAAATAGGGTCATTTAAAATCATCTATTGGGAGGTCCTACGCTGACTACCGTCTTGGCCCTCATCTACAATTCTTCAATTGTTGGATGTGGAGGGTTTGGACCACATCTATTGACACCTTCATAAATACACAAGATGATGAGAAAGCTTCTGTTCCATCCATCAAATTGTACTAATGCTTATGGACAATAAGAAAACATCGATCAAAATATATGTGGTGTGGGTATAGAGAGGCTAGGGTTTCCTTCTCAAAACAGAACGTGCGTGATGATGATTTCTTTATCTTTTTGTTTTTATAAAGTAATATTCTAAGTTGCAGTAAATCTACGAAAAGCAAAATCTAAATTCGGGTGCAAGAGAATGGAGGTACACTGTCTTAATAATCAACTGACATAATGTACATATGCATGTCTTTACTTTTCTAAAGGATTACTAATCATCCGGGCCTAAGGTCAATTATTAGTTATCTTAGCGGTAACAAAAGTTTTTCTTGTATTAGATTTATACAAGAAGAATTGGCACTGCATGGCAGCATGGGGCAAAAGTTGGTGGGAACAATCCATCTACCATTTTCAAATTTCAACAATATATAACTTAATGCAGTGTCAATTGCTATAACCTATATCGTGCAAACACGACATGATCGAAGGAATG